CGAAGCTTGTAAAGACATTAAGATTTTTGGAAGCAGGCAAGATGAAAAATGAGCAATCGCCTTGACAGGAATCGAACCACGAACCTCTGAAATACCGGCTGAGTGTCCTGAACACTAAAAAGGCACACTAGGAAAGCAGGAGAAATACCTTACAAGCTATCAAAAGGCACATAATATGGCCTAGCATAGTATCAGCTAGAGAGATGCAGCAAAAAGACAAACATGCACTAATACTTTTTCCTTCTCATTATCATTTGCTCATCATTTGCATTTGGGTAAGGAATTAAAAGCTGATGCTAGAAGAAACAGGAAAGTGCCATAAACTTAAAAGAACTGTTATAAAATTAAGATATATCTTACAAACATAAGATTAAAAATTGTCTGCTTAATATATATAATAATATTTTAAATACTTGCAATTCAAATGGTAAGTGGTCCCATCAGTGGCCAAGTGGATAAAAACTGCCGAGTTTGTCCTTAGTACAATATAGGTAAACAAGATGGCTGCATACTTGATTTTTGTGCTTTTTCACTTACACAACATGAATATGAGCCTCTTTTCCTCAGAAAACTTCTTAATGAAAGCATTCTTTCCTTTAGGTAGATACTTATGTGCTTTACCAAATTTAAATCATCAACCAGCCTAATTTATGCACAATTTCTAAACTAACAAAACCAGCATAGCTATCCAGCCAGGAAGAATACGAGAGACGCAGCATCAATGGTTGAATTAATCGTACTCTCTTTCTAAATTTAGACTGTCATTCATTAGTTACACTCATTTCATTTGTACTTTTAAGTGGAGTTGAAGAAAAGAATAAATATGCAGGTGGTAAAATCTTGAATGATATAAAATTAACAAGTATGTATACAGAAAAGGATAACTCTATATTAAATGTAATAAAAAATAACAGTAATAATCATGCATTACATTACTAACAACTATAACTCAGATCTTGATATCTACATTCTAAGTTAGAATTTTAAGTAGACAATGAAAATAAGCTACGTAGAAAAATGCACTTAGGATAAAAAATGAGTTTAATTTTTATTTAAAAAATTTATCTTCATAAATTTATTTAATAAAAATCATGCCCTGATTTGGCTATCAAATCTAGAACAGCTGTGAATGATTTCTACATAACATTTGAATTTTCATAATTTGACTGCTTAATTTATCAAATTAAATAAACTGACTATTCTGTACAAAAGAATTTTTGTATCACATTTTGACTTTTAAAAAAGTGATTACTCTGAATTTTATGCTTTTAAAAATATACTGTGCTTTAAAAAAAGGTCTTTGATATTAATATTAGCAGCACTTCCAAATATAAAGAACAATTTATTTAAAAATATGTTATGCCACAAAATATCCTTGTACATATAATTTCTTCTACAGAATATTTTTTATTAGTTGCACTTGCTATACATAGAAGTTAAAAGAAAAATCATACTACAATAAATTTTGCCATTTATATAATAGAATAGAGCATGTTTTATTTACATTTTTGGTGTACTTGACAAAGTAATCAGAAGTATTAAATATATGTGTCACATATTATCTTAAAATCTACAAATAAATTTCACTGAATATAAAATGAAGTTAAGCAAAATAGCAGACGATAAAATGGAAAAGGTAAACATTTATTCATATCCCCCAAAAAACCTTTAGTTAATATTTATTATAAATTTATAGCATTTTGTATGTTTCATATTTCATCTTTTTTGGCCCTTTCTTATTATGCATCATTAATAAAAATGTGAATAAAGAAATTCTATACAAATAATTCTCAGTAAAAGTTTACATAAAAATTATTGTTAAAAATAACTGTTGCAATTTATTGAAGATCGCAACAAAATGCATGAATCACATTTGGTGTTATCGTTTAAAATAAACAAGCCAAATCTGAAGGAAAAAAAAAAAAAAAACAATATATAAAATCCCATTTATCTTCGGAAACTTTACTTGTTTGCAGATATGTTAGAAATACATTTATTTTAAGATGGTAGTAAAAATTTTATATGTTATAATTAAAATGTTTTTCAAAAACTTTATAAAAATTATTTAACCATACAAATTTTTTAAACAAACCACAAAAATGTGTAAATTTTATTTGGTTTAAACCTAAATTTCAAGTGATAAAAGAAGTAAACTTACTTAATTATTAAATAAATATTATTAAATATTTGCCAAATTCAATTAACATTGCAGGTTTAAATTTTGACTGCTAATTAAAAAAAAACTGCTGCTCCAATTTTTAGAATTTTTGTTTTGTGGCATAACTTAAATCATAGAATTTAAATAGGGGGGGGGAATAGGAATGTCATTTCAGAAAATGTTTTGTGTCAAAATGCATTTGTTAGAACAATGCTATATACAATTTTAATATATATAAAAGTCACATTTTCAAGACAATAAAAAAACAAATTGAATTTCATCAATATGCCAAGTGGAATGAGAGATGTAGAACTATCCCATTTCTCTTTCACTCAGTACATGTAAAGCCAATATAAGGTTATTTCAAGCATACAACTGAGGTTAATTAAATTATACACAAAATGAAAATATTTAAATTAATTTTATAATAGTGTTGCATATGAATAAAATTTATATAGAACAATAAAAATAGGCAATAAATTCAAAAATCAATTCCTATCAATTATTCCACTTTAATGGACAAAACCTATTTCTTCCAGTCAGTTCTTTCTGCTGTGGAAGAAACTTGCCAACTCTGCCCTCAGGCATAACATGAATAAAAAAAAAAAATTCTGGTTTCATCAATCTTAAAAATAAATTTAAGCTTATAGCCATTCATTTCACGGGATAAAATTTAGAATCAGTCAACGATTCTTGGTTTATGATATGAGATTTTGTGGTGTAATTTAAATTTATGTAGATATCTAGCTGAAAAATAAATATCCTTCACCTTCATTGCAACACTCTTTATTTTGTCTTCTTCAATAGCATAGGCCTTTTCAGGGGAATATTTGATGAATGGTGCTGACAGAAAAAACTTTAGCAAAATGTCAAAACCCAAAAATTTTTCACCTTGGATATGTAATTTTTCTGGAAGCGGAGTTTCAACAAGTTGTTTCTCTTTCTTGTACTTTACTTTCCTCAGAAGCAACTGTTATCAATGTTGATACAGGAATACCCAGTTTTTTTTAACAATTCTACTTCTGTTACTCTAAAATTTATCAAATTCCTTTAAAACTTTGGTTAAATGTTTTAGTGAAAGTACCTTTAACTGCTTTACATTTGATGAAAAATTAGGAAGAATACAGGAATAAGTAGCGCTTGAGGAGACAGAAGATAAGTAGCACATGAAAGAATACAGGTGATAAGTAGCACATGAGCTGAAACATATTTACTGCATGATGCAGTCATAAAATGTGTAGCATTAACAAATCTGACACATAAGCAAACTTCATTGTCTTGTGTCCTCCAAGTGACCCTTCCAACCCACTAAGCAAATTTCAACTATATCAATTAACGATATCATATACCATCATTCTGCCCCCTTATATCCATACATACATCCAGTAAATGCTATCTAGAAAATGTGGGGAAGAAGAAGAAAGAATAAAGAAAAAGAAATTATTGCAGTTATGAAAAAACACTAATGAATAAATCAGAATGTATAACAGAAGCTACGTGTCATATATATAAATATACTGGCCAAAAGTCTCCAGATACCCAGTGGTATAGACTCGGAGAGTCCTGATGCATATAGTAATATGATGTTGGTTCCCCTTCTGCGTCGATGACAGCCTCCATACGTTTGGGAGACTTTCCACTAGTTTTTGATAGGTGGCCATAGAAAGTGATTTACAGGCATCCATCACAATACACTAGTGAGTGAGCGCTAGCATTGAGGAGGATCAATTTGACTGGTTACATAATCTGTGTTCTAATTCGTCCCAGATGTGTTCTGTGGGATCTAGATCAGGTTTCTGAGAAGGCCAGCTCAGTTTTTGAATACCAATTTCGTCAAACCATGGGTGAGCAAGTCTTGATGTGTGAATGGAGCAGTTATCTCGCTGGAAGTGAAATAGGCTTTCCCCAAAATATTGCCATAGAGTTCGGAGAGTAACACTGTCCAGAATATCCATATATATCTCAGAGTTCAGGTTTCCAACCACAGGAACTAAGAGATCCAGGCCAAACCATGAAAAACAACCCCACACGATGATGGTACAATCACCCAAACATTAAAGTCAGCACAATGCAATCACTTAAGAAGTGCTTGCCAGGCGTACACCAAACCAAGACGTATCCATCAGACTGCCAGACTGCACAGCGAGATTCATCACTCCAAAGAACATTTTCCCACATGTCTACAGTCCTTTAATTTTGAGCATTGCACCACTGCAATTGATGCTTAACATTCAGGGGAGTGATGTCCGGCCTTGTGATCGGCTGCACAACCATGGAATCCCAGGTTTTTTTGCATCTTGACGAGGAATTGTGATTTTGTTTCACTACTCTTTTCAGAGTTCTATAGCTGCATTCACTCCCCCCCCCGTTTTTCTACAGTTTTACTGCCTCAGTGTTTCCACTTCACAATTACATCACTCACAGTAGATTTGGGCTTCTGTAGAATATCTGAAATTTTATGAACTGATTTCCCACAAAGGTGGCATTCAACTATATTGCCACAATCAAAGTCACTAAACTCCTTTGACTTACTCATTGCCTCACAAACACATAAATATGATCTGACAAACAACTATCAACATTTTTTTAGCCTTTGGTTATGCATCAAATTATTACTTCTTTAGGGAGGTGTAGGGATATTTTTGGCAAGATAGATGAATAGGAATTAATCAAGAAAAAGACAGTACGATGTAAAAAGGTAATATATATATATAAGAAGCACATAACACTGCTTTGCTGTAAAAGGTTATTTTTCAAGTTTATTTGCAGATTTAAAACAGCACTCAAATCAGCACAACCCATAAAAAGTTAGGAGGAAAAGATAAAAAAAATTTACACTTACAGGAAGACAAAAATCTTCAAATGCAGGTTTCACATATGTGGTGTACTGGTGCAATATTTGATCCAGTTCTCTGCCCCTTTCTCTTGTGTCACGCAGAACTAAAATAATTTACTTATATTTAAAAGAAAGAAAAAAAATTAATAATAGAGCTTCTAGAAAACATAAATGCTTTCTCAGAGATGTACCGAATAGAATATATTCATGAAATTTATACCATATTGTTTAAACAGATATTTTTATGATATCGATATATACGAATTTAATTATACATGTGTTAAAATTATATAAATTAAACCTTTAGCTCTCCCACACACACACACACACACACAAAAAAAAAAAAAAAAAAAAGAGGGGGAAGAAAAGAAAGGAAGGAAGAAGTTTAACATTAATTCCTTGATAACACAAATCACAGACAGTAAAATCTAGAACATAAATCAGATTAAACTTTTCGCAACAAAAGCAGAATTTTCGATTTCAAAACTATTAAACTAACACAATGGCCCTCCAATTTTTTCAAAATAAATAAATAATAATAGACAATGCAATTAATAATTGAACAATTAGGTATTAAAAATTTTTTCATAAAAAATTAGGAATTTTTTTAATAATATAATAATAATTAATGATTAATGATCTCATAATTAATAAAAAGCTTAACAACTTTACTTAAAACAGATTGCTAAATTACACCTGTCAATTTAATTATGAATTATTAAACAGTTGATATATATGATAGCTTTCACTTAAACCTGAACTGAAGAGCCTGGGAAATATTTAAAAAAAAAATATTACATTTAAATTGCATTATTTTTGAAAGGGTAATTAAAAAAAATCTTTTATCTATTAATAGATTTATTACATTTCAGGACCTTGAATTACATAAGGTGAACGCTGCTTCCTGTAATACAACTAATTATTTATGTTTCTGCTCCTTTTTCTTTTTTTCTTTTAATTATTAATTGCAAACCTAAACATTAAATTATCAATTGCAAACTCACATCACTAACACGCAAACTATGAACTCCATACTTTCTCAGCCTATTAAATTAGCAACTTGTAAGCAGGACTAGGAGGTACAATTTTGGGCTTTTTTATGTTTTCTAAAAAAAATTATAATTTGCTTTTACATACTTTTAAATGCATTATACTTTGCTTAATTGTTTTTTAAAAGTTTATTTTATTGGCTCAAGGCCAAGGCCGAACACTTCAGTTTTTAAAAATTGTTCAGCTTATGATTTGTTACAATTAATTTATTTAACCGTTTGACTGCTACGCGGTGCAAAAGCGCTGCATTAATTTGTCTCGAAAACTGGGACGCAGCACTTTTCCGCTGTTTGTTGCTCCCCATGGGTGTGAACGTAGTCTGACCTCGCGCATACTTTGTAACACGAGTGCATTCTAAAATAACTAACTGCGTCGTGGTTTTCGAGACAAATTAACGCAGTGCTTTTGCGCCTCGCAGCAGTCAAACGGTTAACTGAATTATTTGTATTGGATAGATTTCCTAAATTAAACATGTTTTAATTTTCAGTTGGATTTATGATATGTGCTTATCATTTTGCTCAGATTTTTTCCCAAAATGATAACATTTCACAGTCTTCTTTCAGTTACATATGGGTTGGACTATATTAATGAATAATTTAGTTACCTCATTTTGCTTAAATTACAAGAAATTGTTGATTTAATTAAAAAAATTTTCCCTTTATCATATAATTGATTGCATAGTTCAGAAATATGTCTTGCTATAGTATTATCTTGTAGGATCAACCCTCAGAAGAAATTTTATATGTTACATCTCGCATTATTTATTGAATTCTCCTTTCTTATATATGTATACAGTGGGCCTTTTTTTTAACTTTTTACTTTGAAGTATTAAATTTAGACTGTTCCGGAAAACTTCTAGAAAAAAATATTCTTTTTATTATTCATTTTAAATCTATCATAGATTTAAGTGTATTGTTTTGTTTAAGATCTGGTTTACAGTTTATTTAATTTTATTAGGTTTTTTAGCTTATACGTATAAATTCATGCTTCCTTATAATGGAAAAACATATTAAGTTTGCCTGAAATGAAGGTACAGTGAACCACACAAAGATAAGAAATTCATGTGTCTGGTCCCCCACAGGTCAATTGCACAAGCATAATTCATTCAGTTATGGCTCCACTTGATATTTCAAGTCAGAACTTCATGGGCAAAGTCATAAGATTTTAGCGATCTGCACTATATCTGTCACAAAAGCCTCTTGATTTCAGGTAGGGTGATAGACAGATGATCCTGTTTCTCCTTTAGTACTGTTTCAACTATAACAAATCAAGGGACACAAAATATAACTGAAAAATCAAGAGGGGTGTGACTAATTCAGTCTGCAAACTGTTTTAGACAAGGCAAGAACTTGAAATGCTCTTAAACTCTCAGCTAGAGAGACTCTCGCTGCTTGCACGATCCTCACATAATGAGGACAATAAATTCTTATTTTACATATCCATTCAATATTAATTGTCAATTGTCATTATTTTATTAATAATAGAGCTTCTCATATACAATACAAAGTTCGTAATCCGGACTCGTTGGGACTTTAGCGATTCCGGATTCATAGATCATCAATTTAAATCTTGTAAAATGGAATGCAGAAATTATACAATTAAAAATATGAAACCGTAATTTATGAAGCAATTATGATCTAAAGGGTATCACAATTAAAAAAAAAGCTTAATATTTATTTGTATACTTTATTAAACATTTCTTTCAATGTAAGTTGTTTAAATTACTTTGTTTTTTGTGCTAATATTTTCTCTTTAATTCTATAAACAGACATAACTTCTTGTTCAGTTACAAAGTTCCACCTTTCAAAAGCAGTATTTTCTGGATCTAGAACCATACTACAGATTTCGCTGTCCGTTGATTGATGATTGGGGCATTGTCGTCGCAATGAAACATTTCTGTTATATCATCTTCATTTATTACTGCTTCACCACATTTCTTTACAAAATCCAATAACTGGAAAATTTCACCTTTAGTTTGCGATGTCCGAAAACCTTCAAATTCGTGCCTATCATCTTCATCGTCCTCACAATGAAATATGGCAGCTAGCCATAAATTATGCCAAGCATTTTTTTAACATATCTGGAGACACATCCTCCCAACACGCATGCGCATGCATAAAGCATACAAAAGAAAAGTTTGCGGCTTTGAGGTCCGGATTGTAGATCATTCCGGATAATGGACGTCCGAATTACGGACTTTGTACTGCATTTATAAAAAATTTGTTTTTAGTTCTATATGCAGAAACACACAACATAAACAAATTGTAACTAGTCAGTTACCATTCCTTACATGGAATTGCCACATCAGTGCAGTGTACAGTCATCATCCCAATGGTGACCAAGGACTGACAACTGCATTAATGAAGCAAACTAGCAACAACTATTTTGACAAATAAACTATAATTTGTTCCGAAAAACTTCAACAATTCCAACTCATCTGTATCTGAGTCAACTATATCTTCAACTGCATAGCGAAACTCTTTAACTTTATAGTAACATAGACTCTCACTACTCGGAAATGCCTAGTATTGAGCCTGAAGTAACGCAGAAGATATAAAGCAACTATATTGCAAAGTAAAAACTTAAAGCTAATCTCCAGCTAACTCCCAGACAGGCTTCGAAAATCCCACATACTGAATCAATGCCTTTTCAGCCTTCCTCAGATAATCCAAAATCACACCCATCTTCGCTAAAGGTGATCTCCAAAACAGAAGCATCTAAGTCTCAATGTTTGTGATTCTGTGACAACAGTGTGATGTGTACAACAGCAAATATTTAGTGAATTGTGTGTGCTTAACCGTATGTTTTATATTCATTTGTGTGTCTTCAAAAGTTTTCTACAACTGTCCACTATTGAAACAGTGAAACAACTGCATTTCAACAAACAGAGGGAAAACAAAAGAGGTATGTTTATTTCTTTGCTTTGCATTTTGTCTTGACAATAAATTAACACGGTCAAACAGCTAACTGGTTGAAGGTCACTGACCTTTTCCCCTCAGGGGTAAAATGATAGACTCTCAGGAATTTCCCCCATTTTTTTTCTTTTGGAGGCTATGCCGCTTTGGGTAATGACCAACCTGTAGCAGCAAGATATTTTCACAGATTAGATTCATAGAATAGCCTTGAAAATACCTCCTATATGGAAATCAAATATTACTTTATGGCTGAGACAATGTGAAATCTAATTTGATCTAGTTGGTATTATCAGAGATAACATGAAATTTTCACACATTGTCACAAATTTAAGCACATTAATTTTAACACATCTCGTATGTTATCTTAACACCTTCTGAAAATTACAAACATCTAGCAGACTAATTGCAGAGTTCCAAGGCACAGAAAATCCATAAACTTTTATTGGATTTACAATTAGGTGGCAAAAAAAAATCCTAGTTTCCTTTTGAAAGAAATGAAAGAATTATTATCAAGCAAAACAGATGATGATTTCCTAAAACATGTGGATACAATGGCTTTCTTCCAATACGTAAGCAATTTTATTGGCCTTTCATGCAAATTTAACTCATCCAGCCTAAATAGCAGATAAAGTTTCGGAAGTTACACACAACCAACTACTTGTGCAGCATCAAATAATCACCAAAATGCAGTTATTTTCAACACTAAGCTTAATGAACAAGCAAATAGAGAATCTCACTAAGCAAGATAAATGCTTGTCTCGAAAGCAGTGCAATTATGATGAAACAAAAAAGGAGTTTGAATATATGTCAGAACATGAAAATTGTCGACCCTCCAAGAGTAATAGGTCATCACCTCTACACATAGCACATAAAAAGCCTATCAGCATTAGACCAGTTGGAGATTACACAGAACTTCCACATACACAAGAACTTATATATGTGGTATGTACTTGTACATGTGGTACTACCACACTTGCATATGTGAAACTTATTCCACATATACAAGACTTCACTCAATCTTATCACGGCAAAGCAGTGTTTTCTAAATTTGATACTGCACAGGTGTTTTCATTATATGAAAAGCACATATCTAAAACAGCACAGTCTATTAAAAGTGCATATCTAAAAACAGCAGTAAT